GTGAAGAAGAAAATTTCATACTTAAGTAATTTTGCAGTCTTTTGTTCTTTTTTATGTTCCAACGAGTATTTAATTGTGAAACTAAGTTTTCGCTCTTCAGACGTGTAAGAAAGGTGAAATTTACTAGCTTCAGACCAGTTTACGGCTGCTAAATGTGTTGTTGTTCTGTACGTCCATATTTTACCACAATAAAAATATTCACTATAAAACTGTTATTATTGGCACATTTCAGAGGATTCGTTATTTTATAGTCCAGCGATGCAGGCGAACGCCAGAGGGGAACAATAATAATCTCAGACTATAGCAATGTACGCATCTATTGATTTCGAATCCAGAAAGATATTAACATTTTTACGAGAATTTATCGTTTTTAATAGCCGTATAAGATATTTTATCGACTGTATATTTCCTTTCCGCCAACTATTAAAATCTTTAAACCATCACAATGAGGGATACATTTAGGGGTTCGATAATTGTAAACAGCAAACAATATGGTTGAAAATATTATAAATCAGCCACTTTGTTGCAATCTTGGAAGCGTTCGTTTTCACTTTATTTATCTTTTTATTACAATTTAAATCTCGCTGGTGTGTGCATTGCCGATACTTTAGCAGCTTATCGACAAATGGATGAAACTCGATGATTTTTTAAGGGGAGTCCTATCATTCACTTTACGAAGAATAACTCGGCATCAAAAGAAATATATCTCCAACAGAAGTTGCAAGGAATTACCTTTGAAACCTGCATTTCCTGATAAAGCGCCACCTGCAAGCAGAATGAGACGAACGCATCTGCAAACTGCGAAATATATGAGATAATCACACGATAAATCTTATTTATTTTTCAAAATTAAATGATCCCAATAGATTTGTTCCAGCAAATTTTTCAATGATTACGTTTTCTCTTTACTCAGAACCAATCAAAGAAAGGACATTTTGTGAATGAAATGGTTCTAGCATTGAAGATTGAGCGTTTTATTTTTGTAAACATTCGACTCTATTGCATTGATGGATAAATTCCAATAATTTAAGATTTTTTCTTGATTGGGATTTTTATTTAAAGTTATCTTATGATTGACGATGACAAAAAGGAAAGGAAAAAAAGACATGAAGATAATGTCAAGTTCACATACTGATGTTTTAAAACATGTTTTTGGTTGAAGTCCGTACTTCTTATTTGGAAAAGTCAAAAAAATGAACATTCAACATACAAAAATAATCTAAGTCATATTAAGAATACTGTTATGAGCACACTAAAGTTTATATAATAGAACTTTAAATAATCGACACGCTCGTTTCCTATGTCTTTATTTTTAAATAGGCAATTTGAGCTTCAAGTTCTCCATTAGGTTTTTATTTAGCTCACAATCGTTCCATAACTGTCTGTGTGATGTGAGTGGGTGTAAATTGCGACGTTTTTCAGACTTTAATGAAAGATATTTGTAATTCAAAGAATTTTCTACATTGAAGAAACGAAAGAAAGGGAATTATTGATATATTTAATGACTATATTTATGTTTTATGAATACATTTACTTATTTTTTTCTTCTAAAAAAAATAGTCTCAACTTGCAATTATTATTTTGCATATTCTTTTGCATGTTTAACTATAACCTAACCCAAATATAATTTTAAGAGTGGGATTATTATGATTAAATTATACATAAATTATACTCAGGTGGACAAGTATTCCACAATTATAGAAAATATTTAAAAATACATGTATAAGAATTATTCTGATATGAACAATAAACATTTTTAAGTCAACTAACCAACTCACCTAAATCTACAGAAGTTTCTTTGGTTATTTATGCTACGACTATAAAGTCTTTTATTTAATTCTACTTTAATCTGTGCAAATTAAGGACCCTCTCTACACCAGTACAAAAAGTTTTTTGGACACTGAGAAAAATAAATTCCATAAAGGTGTTAATATTGAGCTTATTTATATGATTTTCACTATATGGTATGCGGCATTTACCCCCAGGGAAAATAATCAAACACAACGCAGTCTCAGTGAATAGAAATCACTGTTGTTTACTTCCTTGGAGAAAGTACATTTAAATAACATGTTCAATTAATTTATCTTGGCCTTTCAAAATGTTAAGAATACTATAATTGATTATAAATGGTGTAATATACTGTGAATTTCTAATTTTTAGAACTTGGATCTAAGGGCAGATCACTCTAACTACAAAAAAATACCATAGAATTTTAGTGTGCAGTGTAGAGAGGTTTCTTAAGCCAAATTGCTGGAAGGTTCATTTTGACGATACATGAACTTCGGGAAAAAGTGATCATTATGTAATGTACGAATACCTGTATTTTTTCTTTTTTGGTTATACGTATATATGTATGTACATGTATATATGTATATGATTAATGCGTAATCTTGAATATTTCAATAATTTATATAAATGAATTATAATACTTGTACATTGACTTATTTCACAGTTATATTTTTGTGTAAAAAAAAATTTAGAAACGAAGATAAAGAATTTTCTTGCTCTTGTTACGTGATTCATATTGAAGCATCTTTTATCATCTCCTAATAGACGTAGAAAAATAAAGTCTGATAAGACGATTTTTCTTTGTGATTACAAAAATCTTCACTTTGATGAAACTCTTTCATTCATAAGTTTATTTTGATCAATGAATGAATAGAAAGATCAAATATGTTACCTGAGTAAGAAAGGCAACCCAAATTCACTCTTTGACAACAAGAAAAAAAATCTATCAAAGAGAAGGAGAAAAAGTACAATGTAAATTGCCTACTTTCAATGATATCTTACCGTGTTGTGTATAATTCTGTAGTGAAATATACAGGAACAAAATTGTACCTAGTAATGGTTGGAATTCTTTTTTTACACACATATCCCATGGCTAATGTTCAATAGTTAATATTACAGTAAAAGGTACTAAAAAGAAAGACAATGAAAGACAACTCAGAATCAAGATAGAATCAATAAGAAACAAACTTCAACGGATCCTTCTTTTTTATATTCATAAATCATCTTTGGTATCAAAGAATATATATGGTAATTAAAATGAAAAAGATATTTTTATTTAAATTACAATTAAGCAGTCCTTGCTTTTAATGGTTCAACACCAAGTTGTTTAGCGATCTCATTCTGAAACAAAAGATAAAAATTAAATATCATTGTCCTTGATATATTGACACCCTTTGTGATGAATGCCTGGGTCTTGCACACTTTATTGTCAACATATCAAAGTTACATTGGAAACAATTTCTATCAGTATCTCAAAATGTTACACAAATATGTCATACCTTGAAACATGAACGAAGAACGTGGTATTATAACTGGTACATTGTTAGCAAATCTTCTCTTTAGAATTTTTAAGGATGTAATTCCTTTATCAATTGCCAATGTTTTCATATACTATGACACGATTTTAAATTGTTCTGATTTTCCATTTATATGGAATCTATACATCTATAATAATTTTGTATTGTATGTTTCTATTTGTATAAAAAGTATATAAATATATTATATCCATTTGTTTTGTAAATTTCTTTAATAATTCTAACAATATTTTAGTCAATGTTTTATTTGAAATCCATTTGTTTTTTTTAGTTATAAACTAGCACATGTCCTTCCATTTTTAAAAAAAACATGATCCATCAGTCACTTCAAATTACAGACCTGTATCTCTCTTGAGTTGTGTAAGTAAAATATTTGAGAGAGTTGTATTCAAACATGTATATAATTTTTTTCACACAAATAATTTGTTCTACAAATATCAGGCAGGTTTTCTGCCTGGTCACTCAACTGTGTACCAACTTTTAGAAACATGATACTATTGTAAAAAGTATTGATGAAGGGCAATATTGTTGTATGTTTTTTTGTGATTTATCAAAAGCTTTTGATAGGGTTTGGCATAGGGGTTTGATTCATAAATTAAAAATGTATGGTATCTCCGGTAATATGTTAGAATGGTTGGAAAGTTACTTGTACAATAGAAAACAAAGTCATGTATCAAAATTTATTTTTCTTCTGTGAAAAATGTGCATGCTGGAGTACCCCAGGGCTCTGTCCTGCCCTCTTTTATTTTTGATATATGTGAATGATGTAGCCGAAAACATATCTGTTTGCAGACTATTTGCAGACGATAATTCTTTACAAGAAAGCTCGAGTGACGTGCGTCTCATTGAACATCATCTAAATCATGACTTAAAAATTCTGGATGAGTAGTCCAAAAAATGGTTATTGAAAGTTAATCCAAGTAAAACAAAAGTATTATTTTTCAGCTTAAAAAATACAAACCAGTTACCTGAATTATTTTTTGGAGACTGTCAGTTAGAATATGTATCACAACATAAACATCTTGGTGTTATTTTTTCAACTAAATTAGGTTGGTCAGATTACATTGATAGTATTGTCAGTAAAGGCTACAAAAAACTAGAACTTCTCAAAAAACTTAAATTTTCAGTGTCTAGAGATACGTTATCCAAACTTTACACTTCTTTTATTCGACCACAACTTGAGTATGCGTCTGAAGTTTGGTCAGGCTGTTCGCTGGCAGATATTGATAAACTTGAAAAGCTTCAACTGACAGCCGCAAGAATAGTGACTGGTCTTTTAGTATTAGCATCAAGAAATTCGTTGTATATTGAAACAGGTTGGGCACCTCTTGTAATAAGAAGAGACAAAGCCAAACTTTTAACAATGTTTAAAATCCACAATAACCTAGCTCCTGATTACTTAAAAAACATTGTACCGATGGTTAGAAACACTGTTTCAAATTACAATACTCGAAATTCACTTGATTATTCTTTACCTAAATGCAGGCTTAAATTATACAACAAATCATTTGTCCCCGATACTGTTCGCAAATGGAATTCACTGAGCAACGAAACAAGGGAAATAGCCTCAATAGGAATTTTTAAAAGAAAATTGAGTAATAATAATGATAAGCCTCCCAAGTATTTTTAAGACACAATTGTATTCTAAATAATGATCTGCATAGATGTAATATCATAAGTAATCCAAATTGTTCTTGTGGTATGAAAGAGGATAGTCATCATTTTTTCTTTGTTTGTAGAAAATATTTTGAACCTAGACACTTAATGATGTAAAAATGATTAAAGTGCATAAATTGCTTTGGGGAGATGATTCCTTATCTTCGCAGGAAAATGAAAAAATATTCGGTATTGTTCAAAAATTTATTCAGGAATCAGGTCGTTTTAATTAACACTAAACTGTATTATCTCTATTGAAATTATTATATTTTTTATAATATCAACACTGTATTTATTATCACCATAATTATTAATAATTTATATTATTTCCTTATTCATAAAACAATTGTTTTTGTTCTTCTGTGTACATGTATATATTATTAATTGTAAAATTTTGTAAATGTTGTATGGCCATTCAGATTTTATGTATAAGAGAGGACTATCTATTAAGTTTTTGGAACTTGTGTCCAATCCCTTTGACATATTGTCAATAAAATAAGTTCAAAACATTTGTTTTTTATATCTCCGGTATCCAGATAGACTCATTTCTGAGAAGGTGAAGCAAGTTTAAGGAGGAAGTTTTCTAATAATAATGAGTATTTCATTATAACGAGTTAGTTATCTCGTTATAACAGGAACTAAAGCTCGTGTTAGCGAGTTAGTATCTCAATATAACGAGTTAGTTATCTCGATATGATAATTAAGTTATCTCCTTATAACAGGAAGTAAAGCTCGTGTTAGCAAATTTTATAACGAGTAAGCTATCTCTTCATAACGAGTTGGTTTCTTGATAAAACATGCTAATATCTCGTTATTATCTCGTTACTGCGATATTTCACGTCAAAATGAGTTACTTATTTTTTCGTTATAACGATTCTTTATGAAACTTGAGATCACTTAGTCGATTAAACTAGATAACAAACTAGTTATACATGTAAGTAGATAACTAACTCGTTGTAACAAGTAAAATGTTTACCTTTTTGGATTTCGTAGACATAAACTGAAAAACCTTTAACGTCTGATATAAATGAAGAGCCAGTTGATGGAGAAAATTTTGGAGTCAGAAAAATTTTCAAAGAAATTTGATGACTAAAATTATTTACCGCATTAGTGAAGGTTTCTTGTGAGTAGGGAATTCCACCCAGTTCCTTACAGCGCTGAGCGTGTTGTCTCTCCGGGTCTCCAGGGATCAGCACAGGTAAACCAGGATCCAGCTTTAAGTAGTTACATTCAAATTATAGTAGTTAACATTCAATTTTAGTGAAAAATGAAACGCTTTCTTCAGACTAATATTTTTGACAATCTTACTTGTTTCAGAATACCTTTAATAATAATGGTTATTTTGAAGTTATGAGCAAGATACAGACTAAGTCGATCATCATTGTCAAACAGGTTCATTAAAAGATGTAAACTAAAACTCAGAAATTGCTATTGCAGCAGTCTGACCATAAATAGGCATGTTTTTTTTTTACATTTTGAATGTCTGACCCTTATTCCAGTACAATATACGAATTTTGATGTCTCAAATGTTTCATGATCCTGGATTTAATTATTGGTATTGTAATAAATGTGTTTGGAGTATTTGGTACTGATATTATAATAATGTGTGTGTAGTATTTGACCAATAAAAGTCTCTTATAGATCTAGTACTTACAGGTTCCACACTCCTACATTGATCAATCAGCTGAGTCATTCTGTCTGTGAAACCATCAGCGAAACTGCTGGGATCTATGGCTATAAAGCATTGGCCCTTCAAGAGGAAGAAAAAGTCTGGATGTCAGAGGTTTGTACCTTAATTATATGAGGGTAAGAAATATAGTGTATTTATGCCAAATTATTTAACATATTGTTGACGTGACAAGGTACAACTCAAAATGCAAATTTAATGTCACATATATCATTAAATCAGCACAGATCCATATGCATATTAGATTATACTACACATTCAATCTTAAAATATATTTGCAGTAGGTCTTTAAGTAGAACTCACATAATTAACTGCACCCTCTCCTTTCTTCCAGTTCCCAGTGTTGAGACCAAATGCTGAACCACTTAATATGCCACACAATACTTCAACCATCATGGATAGACCATAGCCTTTGTAACCACCTTCAATGGAATATCAACAGCAGTGCATTATTCTTCAGATAGCTTGCAGTTTGAATTGGAGGAAGTGTACAACATTTCATCAATCCACATGTATCTCTTACGTACCACTTTCTTCAGCCCCACCTAGCGGCAACAGGCCTTGGAATGCCTTCGGATCTTTAGTTTCCTAAAGTATAATTCAAATAATAATATCAGGACATGATTGGGTGTTTTACGTGTATAAATAAGGTATATTACATTTTGAAATCAAGAGTTTCGTTAAACAGCAAAATGTCAGAAATACATGTACTCACCTTCCCATCTTTGTCTATGGCCCAACCACTCGGTAATGGCTGTCCTAACTTTCCTTTAAGTTCTACCTGAAATTACATGTTTAAAAAATCAACTAAACTGAACAATGTAATGATGTATTTTTCATGTTATTTCTAAAGTACTTTTTAAATTAAATTTACAAAAAAAGTTTCCTGTATTGAGAATCACCTTTCCCAGGGCAGTAGCTGTTGTTGCCATGTCTAAAACAAAGTTGTCTCCATTGTTTGCTGGGGCACCAAGTGATATAGGATTCGTACCTACAACCATCTGAAAAAAAAGAAATCTATCTTAATTTATTATTTGAAACAAAGGGAACTAATATATTTTTTGCGAACCGGTAATATTTAAAGGAGATATTCCAGATTTGACCTTGTTGTTCCTCTTTTTTTCAAGCTTGCCAGAACTATGGGTGTATTAATTTTCGCCAAAGAAAATATTGTTTTTGAACCAATAAAGTATATCAAATTATCAGTACATTATAATAAAATTACCTCTTTTGACCTTGTTGAAACCAGCATTGGATATGTGTTTGTGAAAGCCATGCCCTGTTTAATAAAAGATTCACAGTGTTAGTTCTGTCTGGGTTTTTTTTTCGTACCACAATAATCTTGAATTTTCAACAAAAAGATTGTTCAGCTTTGATTCACGCCAGTATGACTGTCTTTTGACACTCACTATCATCCCCTGTTCTATTGCTTGAAGTCCGTACCATCCGGCGATACCAAAATGAGACGATCCTTTAAATAATCAATATTATCCAAACCTATATAAGATAACTTTGTACAAATTAAAATATTGTAGGATCAGACAACGAATTAAATAGGTCATGTGTCCCTTTGCATTTTTTAAATTAAAAAAAACATTGTTCCCTACCTCTAACACTGACCATTGCTATCCCTGACTGTTTCGCTTTTTTCATCGCCAATTCCAATGCAAACTTGCCAATGGCTGGCCCTGTACATGTGTATAAAACGCTAAGGATGAATCATGTCCTCTAAGTATCAATGATAAAAAATCATTTTATTTCAGTAATTCCTACCGAGAATATTGTTTCCATCAACAAGAGCTGTGGAGACATTTTCTTTAACAATGGTAGGTTCCACACCCTGGCCGTCAGATATCGCCTTATTCCTTAAGCATTTCACGTATAGACCTGAAATTCAGAGAAATGACTGGATTAATATCCAAGCTTTTGCAATAATCAACTAGATGCTGTCATGAGACAGTAATACCCGCACTAAGGTGTTTGCCTCTAAATGCACACTTCTTCATATTGGGCTTTACCAAGGAAAAAGTCAATATAATTCAATAATTTACATATTACATGTTTTATCAAATTGAGCATAATATGCTCAGGTGACCATGTGACCCATGGGCCTCCATCTAATAGGTATTTCATATCCTTAATTCATTACCAGTCTGAAATTAAACAACAGAATTAAATTAATGATGTAAATAAGGTTTGATAAAGGGGGGGGGGATAAATTTTTGGCACATAATTTGAACTTTTTAAATGTATTTTCTCATATCTATAGATCAACAAATAATATTATTCAAATTAGTGTAAAGAGTTTTTGATGAATTTTTCAAAATGTGCAAAGTTTATTTATATTTGACAAGGCAGTTCTAAACTTCTTGAAAGCTGCCATATACACAATCAATTTAGTCAACCCCCACCCCTCTCCCATCAACACACACACACAAACACACTTAATTTGCCTGTTTTTGGAAATAGGCCTAGATGGCAAAGTTAAGATAAAACATCTTTCGTAAATGATAATTTTCAATTTGTTCTTGCACTATACATGTATTTGAACACCTGTATCACATTGGGCTTGCGTCACGTACCCAACTTAAGTACTAGTTTTACCACTGGCATTATCATTTTTAGATCTCACTGCACGTGCAGTGGGCTACTTAGTGTGGCATACACATCATTGCATATATATGTCAGTAGGAATTATTTCATTTTGTGTTTTAATTGGATTATATTTCATGAAGATTACGGGACCTAAATAATGACAATCGGTAAGTACAAAGTTTTGGTATAGATTTTGTAAAATAGTCTGAAATGCAAACGGTTAGGTTCAAGTTTAAAGGATCAAAGGTATCCGATGCTTTGACATTCTGAAGAGTTATCCCCCGTTATCAACGTTACATTCAGTTAGGCCTACAAGATCCAGAATTTTTTTCTGGGACTGGGAGGGAGGGGGGTTTCCAGACCAGAATTTCCTGAGAAGCTAAAAAAAAAAGTTATGTTTGGGTCTGTTTTCTAAGGTGGAGGGACACTTAGGGCATCCAAAGTCATTTTATTTCCTCCAGTATACATTATAGTCCTGCAAATTCCAAGGGGGGGGGGGGGGGTTGAGAGGGCGATCACCCAATCCACTCCCTGTCCCTGTATTCACAAATGATCATGTGACTCCTAAAAAGTTGGAAAGTTTTTCCATTTGACTCTCCATAATTTTGTTTCTTGTGTTATTATGTTATGTAAATTTAATGGTATAAAGGTTATGAACCCCTGGAGGTCATTCCCACTCCTAATGAGCTGGAAATGTTCACAATATGACTGCATTAAATTAAATAAAAGTGCATCAATGATAAGATTACTTGACATTTTATTCATGAGTTTGTGTCAACTTATCTTCTGGCGGCGGCCTAGAATAGGAAGGAAAATCATTCAGAGATGGACCACATTAATTAAACTATTCGTATAATTTTTTTTTTTAATGTAATGCAAGTAGTAGTTTGCATACATAAACAAACAGGGGTCTGGGAAGGGGTGAGGGGAAGGATCGAGTTAATATTTCTTTATGTCTTAATGGTTAAAAACTCCTAAAATGAATGTTGACCTCAAATCTAACTTGTCCTGATTATTTTTCAAGTGGTGGTGTCTCCATATGAGTGAAAAATTCCTGAGAGGGATGTTTAATAACAAACAAAATGACATAAAAACACAATATTGATTTGCGTTAAGAAATATGCAGGGGATTTTTTCCATCATAAATCTTCTTCTCAAGAACAGCAAGGGCATTATTGTCCCCTGTTTTGGGGAAAGGGAGGGGACGTTAAATCTCATTTGTCTGTCAGTTTGCCCATCTTAATGACAGCTAGTATGTGCATCTGTCACAATAAATTTAACCTTGGTCATAACTTTTGAATATAAATAAGAGATAATGCTTTCCTATTTCACATGTACATTACCACAAAACTTTCTAAATATACTATGAGTTTTTAACCCAAGTGAGACCTTGACCTTAAAGTTTTACCTACTTTCCAAATAATAACATTTTAAATTGATCAATTTGAAAGAGAAAAGAAAGGGCATTCAAATTATGCATGTTTATTACATGTGAAAAGACTTTTCTAAATATATCATTACTTTTGACTCTGTGACCTTGACCTAGAATTTAACCTACTTTTCAAAAATTTTATATTGTATATATAAATTTTGATTCAAAAGAGATATGACTTTTATATTTGACATGTACATTACCTGCAACAAAATGTTTCAGAGCATGCTACGATTTTCCCCTTTGACCTAATTTTCAAATATTGATATATGATATGGGTGCATATTCAATGACATAATATGCCATAAATTATGGCATCCCATTCACTAAAACACAGAAAGTAGAGGACCACAATTCTTTGAATTTGCTTGTATAAACTTGATAGATGGAAACATCCTCATATAATGTAGATTCAAGTTTTTTATGCCACACCATGATTAGGAATACATATATATAGTTTTTGTCATGTCCGTCCTCCACCCTTCCATCTGTCTTTCCATTGGGTTCAAAGAAACTTTCTAGATATTTTTATCAAAGTTCATATGTTGATGCATACTGATGTAAATATCCAACTGCAGCAATATTTTTTGACTTTGACTTTTCCTTTGACCTTCACTTAACTTTTCTTTAAAGAGGCTGGGTGGTTGCGGCCATTTTTATACTATTTTGATCTCCTCTAGAAGAAGAGCTCCATTTAAAGATATAATGAAATGATAAAATGATCAAATTTTAAAACTAAAATTTATGAAATTTTTCTTTGCCAAATGATAGTTGACGGCTTAAGATATCATATCCCCAAATTTAAGTTATAACCGGTGGTTAATGAAAAAAATAATTTGTTGACCCCCTAGCCTCCTTAAATTACTGTTTAGCTTTATTTTAAAGAAACCATTCAAGTTGTGTAATGAAACTTTACATGATGATACATACTTATGTAAGCTTTACAATACTTCACTCTTTTTTACCTTGACCTTTCCTGTGACCTTGACCTCACCTTTCTAAAATTAATGTCTAGATCAGTTTTGAATAAACAATTCAAAATATATTTATCAAACTTCATATGCTGATACATACTGCTGAGAGCTATTAATACATCAACTTATTTTGACCTTGAATTTTCCTTTGACCTTGACCTCACTTTTTAAAATATATGTTTATCTAAGTTTTAAATAAACCATTAATTATAGTTTTATCAAACTTCATATGCTAATAGTAAATTCCTACTGATGTAAGCTTTTCAACTGCAACAATTAACATTTTGGCCCTAACCTTTCCTTTGACCTCTCTTTTCTTAGAAAAAGTGTTAAGGTCAGTTTCATTAAATCATTCAAGATATTTTTATCAAACATAATATGCTGATAACTTCATCAAAAACTTCACCTTGCACATTCCTCTGACCTTGACCTCCATCCTTTTTAATTTGTATTTCGCTTAGTTTTAAAGAAATAATTTAAGGCATTTTTATGTTAGCATGCACTTATACATAATTTGGTGAGGATTTATAATCTATATCAAATTTATTTAGATTTTAGTTTCAATTCTAAAGAAACTGTTCAAGATATTTTCAACAAACTTAATACGCTAATACAAATTTTCCTGTAGCATGAGTAATATACATCCAGTGGGACATTCATGTCCTATAGACATATTTCAAGTTTTTCAAATCATAACCTCAAAGGCTAGGTCAGGCCACAATTAGACATTAAACATTCCGAAACCTTACTGCACATCTACATGACACCACCAACCATCTCCCCAAAGATGATAAGACTACTTTGTAAAATGTAAGAAGAGTTCAGGGAAGACG